AGGTCAGGTTGGGTGGGGCTGTGATCATCCTGCTGCAGTTCCTGATGTCTGCATGGTGGTTGGACTAAATGACCTTTAAAGGTCCTTTGCAACTCAAAACAGTAGGCAGGAGTTACTGGCTTCAAATGTGAGTGAAACCAGTGTTAATGCTACTGTAAGAGTTTAGTCTGCCAGGGCTGCTGTGATTGGTAGGTCCAATGCTTGGAGTTTAGGACTGCAGGCTTTGAAGGTTGTCTAGATGCTCTGAGCCAAAAGATTGGTAGGCCAAAAATATGTTGAAAATTATGGTTTAGATTAGGGTTTGACCTAATCAGTGCTGAATAGCTTGGCCATTTGGTTTAATTTAAAACTAAGACTAGTGGGATCCAGTGGTCTAACAGTGATCCTGTGGATAGGCTGTTTGAAGTGGTGGAGGAGTCGCCCTGCATTGAAATGCCTGTGGAATTTAAGGCTCGTTCCGGGATGGGTTTTTAATTATATTAATATGCAGTCTAAGATCTTGATAGCTGCTGTAGTCTTTTTATGTCATTTTGTCAGCACAGAGATTAGCTGGAAAGCTAAAGGAAAACATCAGCAAGGCACTGAATTTGTGCTGTAAAAAATCCCTATTTGTCCCTATTTTGTATTTTATCCCTTATTGCTGTGGAAAATGCCTCTTTTTGTGCCTATGACTCGGCTGGAGCTACTCCATCCCTTTCCCTGCTCAAACACACTCTACAGGGAAAGCTGTAAGTTGGGCTGTCATCTCATTGTCACTGGCTTCAGGAAAGTCTCATGAGCACCAGGGAAGTCTCTTAGCAGTTAGGAAATACAGCTCCTCTAAGTTTCGGAAAGAACTGGTCAGGTTCTGAAACTTCAAAAAAATTCAGAACCATAATGCTGTACTTCACTCTCAGCTGTCCTGGTTTGGACAAGATGCTATCTGCAAGAGAGATTAGGGTTTTAATATATATTTCATGTATTGATATGGTTTAGGTTCTATTGAAACGCTTATGGCTTATTAATTTTTCTGGGTATCTGAGTGTGGTAAGTGCTGCTATGCACAAGAGTGCGAACACGAGATAATACATATGTGAAGTAAAGCATTACAATCCCTTTTCAATTTTGGTTTATTTTATCTTTCATTGTCATTTCAGGTGGAGATGATTCAAAGAATACGTTAAATACTCAAAGTGCAGAGGATACAAACCTGCACCAGGTACATCTTTGCAAAGAGTACTAATATTAATTTGATGCTCAGCTATTGAGGGCTTGCTAGCAGTCTTCAGTAAACTAATGCAACCTCCTATTTCTGAAATGTGTTTCAAAACTGTCACATAATGTACTAGATGCTTCATACACAGCAGGGACTGAAACAGAATGATGTCCTATGTTATGCTAATTCTGTAGCAAGCAGTTGCTGATCCCTGCTGATCCTTGCTGATCCTTGCAGCTTGGGATAAGCTGCAGTCTCATGAAAGTGTAAGACAGAGGCAATCAGCTCCTTCTCACAGCTAGTGGTTCTTGCTGACTTTTTGCAGGTTCTGCAGAGGTAATTTACAACAAGCATGGTACATCAGCACCTCTTCGTGCTTGCAGAAGCCTGACTAAAACTTCAAGAGGTTGCCTCTTTTGTAGCAGCTGGGCAGCTCCTTCTTTCCTCTATGTATGAGGTTGTACTGGGTTTCCGTAGGAGAGGGTCAGGGAGCCACTCTTGCACATGGGTTGCACAGTTAAGCTGTGAGACCTCAGGACGACTTGGGAGCTAGAGCCTCACACGAAGATAAGACAGCACAATCAGTCACTCAGGTCATGGCTTGTTTGCATATAGCACAGGAGGTTTTGGCATTGAAAGCTGTACTCTTCCCCTCTCCTTTTCTCCCCTTTGAACAACAGTAACTGGTAACAGCTGAAACATATAATGCAGTGTGCACAGACATTTTATGCTTGTTTCCTGAAGTTTTATGTGTCTGTGACAACTGCCCTTGTTAGTCACAGCAGTGCAGTCCACAGAGCCCTTAGAAATGTTATGCTAGAACAACATCCATGGTGGATGTGTCTTAGATTACACTTTAAAATATGAGTTGATTCATGAAGTATATTCTCCAGGTAGAAGATGTGGTAAACATTTTGTTGGGAAAACCTATTACTGTGGGTAACTGATACGTCAATAGTTGTGTGAGTTGTTGCAGTGTCTGTGTTCTCATTCTATCTTCAGATAGGAAGTGATCAACGTGGCAATTGTAGTTAGTCATTGGCCTTTGAAGCAGTTTTGTGAGACTGCCATGAGTTAATTCTGCATGATTTTGCTGTGTTATTTCCCTTTACTTTATGATTTCTGAGAATCTCTGCAGACAGATTTGCCAGAAATGTGATACTGTAGCTGTGATACATGACCACAGAAGTAATGTAGTTTTAGTTCTTTGAATGCAGAACATTAATTCGAAACCAGATAAATAGAAGTCTAAAGCACTTCAGTACTGTTTGTCATTGGATTTCACCCATTAATTTTTACACTTTAATACACATATTTTTTAGTTCCTTGATTTGTTTGTTCTGCTGTCTTAAAGAGCTGCACAGGCAGAGGAGATCAGTAAATTTTATAATATCATAGTTTTATTTTAGTGTATAATAATTTTACCAGAAAATTAATTTAATATATGGCATGTTTTGTAGACAGACTTAAATATAGATGGCACAGTTCAACAGGATAATACTAAGGCATCAAAGGAAGTTTTTCTGAAGAGGAGGAAAAACAGAAAAACAAATTTGGTGAAATATACAAAAAATAGTTCTTCAGGAATCTGAAGGCAGAAAACCAGCCAACCAACCAACCAAACTTCTGAAAAAGACAGATGTGCTATTCTTATAGCAAAGGCTACAGCCAGGTGTAAACCTCTTCAGAAATAATGTCTTCTGTTAGGTGGACCTCATGTTTAGGTCCACTTACAGACCAAGGAACAGTCAAATTACACAAAACTTATTTCCCTGATTCTGGACCTAATGAAATGGGCCACGCTGTTGCTCTTTCTAATCATAATTGCTGCATCACAGTTAACATTGTAGGAGAACTGAGCTAAGTCAGAATGAATTGCAACAGGAATATGAATTCAACAGTGGTAATAGTGAAAATCCGTTTACAGAAGAAAAGAGCAGAACTGGTGCAAGCTCAGCAACTCCTGCTGTAACAGAGGAGGACATCACCAGTTTGTGTTGCCCCACATCAGTGGTTTGTGGAGAAAAAGTGTCTGTACAGCATTCTCAGACTATGGTTTAACAGAACTTGATTCTCAGTCAGTACTTACTTGGTTTGACTTCCTCTCACAATGTACCTGTTTTAAGGTTACAAAAGGAATTCAAGAGATACGACAGTGACCAACATAGTCTCAAGTAACAGTAATAGTCTGACAGGAATCTAAATACCGGTATGAGAACACCTTCAGAATGAATATATTTCTTTGCAAAACATGACAAACCAAGTTAAATGTGATGTTGATGAAAACAAAGTTAATGGGTCGGCTCTAAATTTAAAGCTGTCTTTGCCTTTGTTTGAACAGATTTCCTTGCAGACAGATGAGTCGGAACCAGTGTGTGCAAATCGTACGGGTTCGGGCAGCATGGACATACTGCAACAGACTATTGTCAGTGAGGTGCAGAACGTTTATACTGATATATCTGAAGATGGAACCAGCTGCAGTGAACAGACATGTGAAGCAAATGGAGAAATACTGTTAGGACCTGAGCTTTTGGCAGCTGCTAATGGAGAAAGTCTTTCTGGAATTTCTTATTATTCTACCAGTGGTGTACCAAGCACCACTGAACAAAAGGCTCCACAACCGAAGGCTCCACAAACAGAGAAAGGAGGGAGGAGCCCATATAACACGGAAGAAAGCGTCAAAGGAAGTCACACTGAAACTGAAACTGCTAGTAGTTCAGCCATAGAGCCTGTAGCTTTACAACTCCATGAAAAGGAAAAACATCAAATTAGATGTAAGAGAGAGGATCTTCAGGAGACCAGCTCAAAAGCAGGTTTGCATTTTGGTGTTAATGAAGACAGTAATTCACCTAATTCATTTCAGATTCTGGAAAATGTGCAGAAAGAAACCTCCCAGAAAACAGGTGCCATGTTTTGTTTGAAGATAATTATTTTATGAGCTTGTTATAAGCATTCTGTGTATTCTATTAAAAAACTGAGCTGCTGCTCTTCAGATGATTTTGCCATAAATAAATATGTTGTTGTGGTACAGTCCACAAAGCTAGATCAACTAATTAGTAATTTTTGCTTTGGATTTTTGGAGGCTGTTTTATATTCAAATTCCTGTTGTATTAACCAAAATGTGACTGTGATGGTCATTACAATAATTAAATTAAATTCTTAAGTACCTTATTTTTTATAATACCTAAGAGTCAATAAAGGTAATATTTTCACAAAAGAACCAAATCATTTTGAATTCATACTTTATTATGTTAAAATATTTTCAAAAATTAAGTGAGTTACTGCAGGCATATTTTAATCTAAACTACACAGTCAGTTTGAAATTTGTTTTAATATAATTTATAATTTCTGAAGTTAGAGTATTATGTCATAGATACCCTAAATTTCTTTTGTTAAACCAACAGATGAAGGAGTATATGTTGGAGTAGGTGTAGCAGAAGGCACTGAAAAAAACAGAGAAGAAGGAAATAAAAAGACCAATGTGCTTTCACAGTTTACTGAAAAAGAAGTAGTCCAAACAAAAAGACTAAGATTAGACCCTCAGGAGACAAGCCAAAAGGCAGCCTCATATTCCAGTAGCCATAAAACCAAGATTTCATCTGATCAATCACAATTCAGTCAAGCATCAGAACAGAAAACAGCCGAGAAAGCAGGTGAAAAATTAATAATATTTTATAAAAACAGTGGAGTTTTCTTTCCACACATACACAAACAACGGTGTTTTAATACATGGGGGAAAGTTTGGAAAAGTCAATATAGCATGTTGAGCAAATACTTAAACAAGTTCCAGATACCTGAAATATTTCCAGAACTTTTGTACTCTGTTTTACAGAATGCACATACTTAGTTTTCTTTATGTTACGTTCATCAGTCCTTCAGCCTTGTGATTGAGGGGAAGCAGGATCATAACTGAGAACTTAAAGGAGCTTTAAATTGACACTTAACAGTTAACTGAGTTACATAAATGGTAGTTCAAAATGAAACTAAATTTGTCCTCAGTTAATTATTTTATGTATCACAGATCAAAGAATAAAACCTGGTGCTCCAGGTGTTTGTTTGACACACATATATCCACATACATTTTATAGACTGTGTCCTCATAAGGCACACATTGGCATATGCTCTGAATATACTGGTACATTTGGGTTTAGCTGTACTGTAGAAACACACTGGCTTGCATGAGCATAGGGATCTAGAGTTCTCTGATATTTATATTCTCTTCTGCCTGCATGGACAGCCTTCTGTTCAGCAGTTTTGTCCTTGTTGTCCTTCATGTCTTGTAGCCTCACCATCAGAACAGAGCACCGATCCAACTGACTACTCATAACCCCCAAGTATTTTTCACTTACTGCTTATTTTTCACTTACTGCTTTTTTGGCAAAGGTGTCAGTCATCTTGTGTACTTTCAGTCTCTCTGGAACCAGAGAACTGTAGCACTCAAGACTTAGTAAAGGCAAAATGTACTTCAGAAGGGATTTCTCCTCTCTTAAAACTTTTAAATGTAATATATCTGGACTGCTGATTCAAAAATGGTTATCCTCATATCATTTGCCATTCACCTTAACTTCTGTTGAAATGAAAAGAATAGTGTCATTAGGTGATTGGAAATTATTTTTCTTCTGGTTTCAATAGATTTTAAAATGCTGCCTTCTTATGACCTAAGCTATCTGTGACTATCTCCTTGTATTCTTTCATCTTTCACAGCAGTTTTCTACAATGCCTTATTTTTATTTACTAACATTGACTTCCTTTTTTTTTTTTTTTAAATTTCTCATTTACTGTTGCTCTCTAACTCCCTTCCTAAGCCAGGTTAGATCCTGAACCTTTTCATCTTAAGTGTGAGATATGTTGTGAAATACCTCCTAGCTATCATTCATATGTTTCCACTGACTTTTTTCTTTAGGCTGTTTTTCAGACTGGGGTCTATTGGTGAAACGTTGGTTGCCTTTGAGTGGGATGTAAGTGAATGCTAGAATTAAGTATATCGTATGTATTTTGAATATCAGTGGGATTCATGCTCCTACATCCATTAAATGATTTTAAAACAAATGTACATAACAGCATGTATACTTAAAATAACGTGTAACAAATATACACACCCACCCATATATGCAAACACAATGGGGACAAATACATCTGCACACATACTCATTTGTTTACCTCTTTTTCTTGCTTGCTTAGTACCCTCCTTCTCTTTGGGGACTCTGTCTAGATAAGTCTTCTAGTCTTCTAGGTTGAATTAATGAGTTAGCAGCCAACCTCTGCAATATCCTGTAACACATGACAAAAAATGT